GTTTTATTAAAGGAATACTAACTTAAGGAATACGAAGATGTACCCATCCTATTGGAGTGATAGGCTATCTATTTAACCGTTGGTTCCCTGATGTGCCATTCTCGTCACCACCGCCTATCCTTCCCGGCTGAGATCATTATTACTGATGATCTCAGCCTATCCCATGCTTCCCCAAAGGAAAGCATTAGGACGCCAGTGCACGTACAGAGCATTTGATGCACTGTGCTAATCAGCATGTTTTCATAAAGATACATTGACTCATCTCCACGGGGAGCATTCAGCATCTCCATGCACAGTGTGGCGACATGGAGCGTTGGTCCTTCAATCTTTCAGGACTGCAACCAGGAAGCTCCTCTAGTGTCTGTCTGAGTGACACAGCAATGTAAACACTGGATGTTTTTTTCGCTAGAAAATAATTTTAGTGAATTGTACACAGAATTGCAAAAATAGCATTGATTCTCCCCCCAAAATTCCCAATTCTGTTAATTTTACCCTGAATTTTACAGGTTGGTATAGAATTCACTATATTTCAATGTTTAGTTAATAGCTCTTTTAGTTATTATCGGTAAGCTAGTCTAGATATTTACTAATTCTTCCTTTTGATAAATGAATCAAGTTACAGTAGTACCACAATCTTTATTTGAATTACTGCTACATTATCATACTCTTTTTCCCATGTTTATTGCCCAAAGCCTTTAAAATACAGTTCTTCCTGTACAGTCAATCTAACTGTGCCATAATCAGTTTTCTTACAGAAAGCTAGAATAACAGTACGAACGTTGGAAGCAGCATGTCACAGTATATATATATATATATATATAAACAAAACCAAGAGGGCTGCACTCACCTAAACATGCATACATTATAGGGTGCTGCTGGGGCCAAAAAACATACAAAATACAGAATCCAGCGCACTCGCTTATTCACTAAATAATGCTTTCAAAATTTTAGAGCATTAGGCTGCTAGAGTAGGACCTGCCAAGAATGGGGTACATTGACGTTGTGGCAGGCTTATGCAATATATGATCATATAATGTAACTAAATCCCCATTATTTTTTGCCTAGGTGAGGTGTTTTTAAATAAAACTATTACAATCTCTAAAATTTTGAAAGCATTATTTAGTGAATAAGCGAGTGCGCTGGATTCTGTATTTTGTATATATATATATATATATATATATATATATATATAAACAGCAATAAAGCCAATATAGAATTATTTATGCTATTTGCTGCTTTCAGGTTTATTCACAAAAGTGTAAATAGTAAAATTCACATTTTAGGCAACAATAGCTGAATTGGAAAAAAAAGGCAGCTATGTTTTCAGTTCAGCTATTCAGTGGAGCTCTGTTGTTCCTCTGCATGCCACGCTCGTTGATCAGGTAAATCACTTGAACAGTCCATCTCCCTTTAGTTTGTTAGATGCAGCCTGCTCACGAGTCACATCAATATATACTTTTAAAGGGACACCATAATCACTCAGACCACTTCATCTCATTGACATGGTCGTGGTTTCCCTGTCCCCCTTAGCCCGGCAGTGTAAAACACTGCAGTTTTATTTTTAAATGGCAGTGCTAAGATTGCCTTTGTTTGACTCTGTGAAACAACGGTTGTGCATGAGGATGTCCATTGTCTTCTAAAAAATTGAGTTACTGTTTTACTGTGAGGAAGACCCAATACGTGCGTAGCGCTTGCCACACATGCACATTTGGTCCCCACCAGTGCTGACATCGGAAGAGCCCAACCCAGTGTAGAGGGACGGCATTGGAATCAGGTAAGTGACTGAAAAGTTGTTTTCTTTAAGGGAAAGTAAGTGGGCTTTTCATTTATTTTGTTTCTATGCAAAATTAAAATGGGTTTGATGAGTGCTAGTGGTCTGTGTTTATCGGGTTTGATTATATTGTGCTACTTCCCCTAGTAATTCAGCCTGTTTTTCGATCATACCCCTAGATTCTCATTATATATTATATATATTCTCTATTATTTAGGAATTAAATATTTTTGCTGATTCAGCTCTAGCCAGAGGCAGAATGAACAAAGAAAGGGGCCTGGTGCAAAACCTGCCTCCCAGAGAGAATGGTTGGCCATGTTTTTTTTGTTTTCCCGTATGGAGCATGTATTTGTGAATACAGCTGTGTATTTATAATGTTGGTGTGTGTGTGACTGTATTTGGGTGTGGTGTTTGAGTATGAATGCATTAGTGCGCTTGGGTGTATTGTTGTGTTTTAATCCAAGCTGTTGGGGCTGGTCCATAGGGGTAGGTGTGGTGTTGACCTCCACCAAGTTAAATAATTTATTGGCATTGTAAGGATTACTGATAAGTGTGAATTAAGAAAAAAAAAAAAAAAAACATGTGTCTCCCATGATTATATCTGCTTTAGAAACATAGAAACATAGAAACATAGAAACATAGATAGAAACATAGAAACATAGAAACATAGAAACATAGAATGTGACGGCAGATAAGAACCATTCGGCCCATCTAGTCTGCCCAATTTTCTAAAAGCTTTCATTAGTCCCTAGCCTTATCTTATAGTTAGGATAGCCTTATGCCTATCCCATGCATGCTTAAACTCCTTTACTGTGTTAACCTCTACCACTTCAGCTGGAAGGCTATTCCATGCATCCACTACCCTCTCAGTAAAGTAATACTTCCTGATATTATTTTTAAACCTTTGTCCCTCTAATTTAAGACTATGTCCTCTTGTTGTGGTAGTTTTTCTTCTTTTAAATATAGTCTGCTCCTTTACTGTGTTGATTCCCTTTATATATTTAAATGTTTCTATCATATCCCCCCTGTCTCGTCTTTCCTCCAAGCTATACATTCAATACCCATAAAATCTAAACCCTGTGGATTCCCATTATGTTCCTCTAAAAAGTGTTTTGAAACACTGTGTTGATAAAATGTCCTATTAATATTATAAATATGTTCCCTAATTCTCTGTTTGTTTCTAAGGGAACATATTTATAATATTAATAGGACATTTTATCAACTCAGTGTTTTAAAACACTTTTTAGGGGAACATAAAGGGACAGGGTTTAGATTTTGTGGGCATTGAAAGGGTAAAGGCCCATTGGAGAGGGGGCGATTCTAACAGCATCCTTAGAAAATCCAAAATGAGGTGGATTTTGTAACCTAGATACATTGCTACCAAACCGTTTAAATGCCGATTTTGAAATCAATTCCTATATTTAATGTATTTTTATATTTATTTTTAATTGTTATGGTTGAATATTAACCAAATTGAGGACAAATTTACTTTTGTAATTTTTATTATTGAGTTTTAGATCGTATATATATATTGTATGCTGAATTATCTTGCAATATGAGATTGTATTACTATTATTTATTTAAGAAAATGTATGGTTTTTACTTAAGGATGCACTTTATAGAATATAATTTTAAAATACAATTGAATTTTTCTCCAAATGTCTTATTAAGTTGGTTGTTCAATGCAGTAGTCAACACAAACAAGGGTGACTTAACCTCAGAGGAGGATTTGCATTAAAACTCAGGTGTTTACAACTCCAAGAAGGACAGTGGTAACAGAAGGTATACATGGCTGGGGATGTCATCGTAGATGCGACGCCGAGATGCAAGGGAACGGAATTACATAATTGAACGGACGATTTGTGACGACAAAAGCGGAAATGAAAGCCGCATATTGAAAATCAGATGGTGGCGCCTTCTGTGCCTAGGATTTTAATGTATGTTCACTTTTCTTTTTTCAAATAAAGAAGGTTCTTTTACTGTTCTACCTGTATCCTGGATTATTGGTAAAATTGGAGCAGCAGAACCTGTGGACAACTGTGTCCTGGTACATTGGTCACCATACTAATATTGGAGCCTGTAGTCTGAGCCAGCTTATTTAAAGGACCACTCTAGGCACCCAGACCACTTC